TTTTCATTCATACAAAAGGAAGAATTAGGGAAAATATTTAACGCTGCTTAGAAACATGGTTCTTTCCTCTCTTTCCAGATGGCTTTGCTTCCTAGTTTTTTGGGAAAAAGTTGAAGTTATCCAACATGAGCTTCCCCAGTTTCCAACTTTCCCAACTCCAATTTGATTGTATCAAAATACAGCTTTCCCTTCTTTTATTCCAATTCCAAGAAATTATCCTCCTCCTTCTTGAATCATTGCAAAACTACTTCATCAATTAATTTCCTCTGCTTTCATCTTGAACGTCTCCCTGTCCATCAGGTATGTCCCACAACTTTCACACTCGGCTCAAGTGGCCTCTCCTCTAAAAGGCTGCCTTCCCTGGAGCCTCTTTTCTGTTTCACTTGGCTTTCCTGACAGTATTTCCTAGTTTTCCATCTCTATCTCTGAATGTTCCTTTATTGGCCCCTTTTATATACTCCTGCCTCTTGTTCCCAAATATAATATTCCTCAACACTCTGTTCTTGCCATTCACATGTTCTTTCCATTTTCTTCTTGGGTATCTCATACCAAGTATTTGAGAACACTATAGACAGGAAACGATTAGCCTACATCTCCGGTTCAGATCTCTACCTTGGAATGCCAGGCTGGCAGATATTGACCATGTAACCTAATAGATCTGAAAAGGACCTCAATTTTATGACAGTAAGCTTACTATGCAGCAGGTATTGTTCTAAATAAGAATGTGTGTGTATACATATTCCCCACAGCAGTTATATTAGGTAGGTATATAATTATCCCCATCTTACATAATCTGAATTCAGAGAATAAATAATATGTCCAAGATGAAAAGGCTAGTGAATAGCTGAAATCAGGCAAATCGTGCTCCAAAATCTTTGCTCTCAATCCCTGTAAATACTGCCTTTCAAATCCAAATCTCTTACAGATGAGGAAACAAGTGCACCTGCTGATACACTAGAAGGCTCCCCTTTAACTTCCACTAATCTTACTTGGAGGTCTTCTAGTTCCACAAACTAAACAAACCCCTGACTACACCCAACTTCTCAGGTTTAGTATATTTGGATATGTGCACCCATCACCACTGCCAATTTTAGAACATTTTCATCATGTTGATGCTTTAGCTATCACTGCTCATCCTCCCCACCTTATTTGACCCTACTTCCCCTCACTCCCAACTAATCATTCACTAATCTAGCTCTGTCTCTTTAGAGGTTCCTATATTGGGCTTTCATATGAGCAGAAGCATATAATACTAGAGGCCTGGTGCATGAAAATTCATGCACTGGAAAAGGGGTCCCTCAGCCTAGCCTGCACCCTCTCACAGTCCGGGAGCCCTCAGGGGCAGGAGGCGACCCAGTGATCAGGGGAAGGTGACACCCCATCACACCTCTGCTGCTGCCACTGCCGGCAGCGCAGGCCTCGGCCGGCCCTGTACCTGAGCCTTGGACGGCCTGGGCGGCTGAGGGGACTGAGGCTCTCTGGAGGCAGGCACGCGGAGCAGCCGGGCCTGCCTGGGGGCAAGCCCAGCCTTGCCATGTGCCTGCTGCCCCGGTGGGGCTGAGTGGACTGGGCACCGCCATCTTTGAGGGTGTGGCAATTAACATATTTCCTATTGGCTGTGGGTGCCACCATCTTTGCGACGATGTGAGGGTCAATTAGCATATCCCCTCTTTATTAGATAGATGTGGACTTCTGTGGTTGGCTCCTTCTTTCCTTCCTCCCTCCCTCCCTTCTTTCTTTATTGTTGAAAGTGTTACATGTCTCCTTTCCCCCCACTGATCACTCCCAGGCTGCTCCCACCCCTCAGCACATGCCCTCACCTCCCTAGTGTCTGTGTCCATTGTTTATGCTTATATGCAAGCATACAAGTCCGTTGGTTGATCTCTTATCCCCCTCCCCTGCCTTCCCTCTGAGGTTTGACGGTCTGTGCGATGCTTCTCTGTCTCTATTTTTGTTCATTAGTTTATGTTGTTCATTATATTCCACAAATGAGAGAGATCATGTGATACTTACCTTATTGTGACTGGATTATTTTGCTTAGTATAATGCTCTTCATGTCCCTCCATGCTGCTGCAAATGGTAAGAGTTCTTTCTTGTTTTATAGCAGCGTAGTATTCCATTGTGTAGATGTACCATTTTTTTAACCCACTCATCTGCTGATGGGCACTTAGGTTGTTTCCAAATCTTAGCTGTTGTACTGTAAATTATGCTGCTATGAACATAGGGGTGCATATATCCTTTCTGATTGGTGTTTCTAGTTTCTTGGGATATATTCCTAGAAGTGGGATTACTGGGTCAAATGGCAGTTCCATTTTTAATTTATTGAGGAAACTCCATACTGTTTTCCACAGTGGCTGCACTAGTTTGCATTCCCACCAGCAGTGCATGAGGGTTCCTTTTCACCACATACTCGCCAGCACTTTTTGTTTGATTATAGCCAGTCTGACAGGTGTGAGATGGTATCCACTGTCATTTTGTTTTTTTAGTTTTTTAAAATATATTTTATTGATTTTTTTAATTTTTTATTACAAAGGGTATTACATATGTGTCCATTTTTCCCCCCGCCCTAGACAGTCCCCTAGCCTCCCCTATCCCCCAGTGTCTTATGTCCATTGGTTATGCTTATATGCATGCATACAAGTCCTTTGGTTGATCTCTTACCCCCCTACCTCCTGCCCCCCACCCCTCCCTGGCCTTCCCGCTGCAGTTTGACAATCTGTTTGAGCCAGCTCTGCCTCTGTATCTATTATTGTTCAAAAGTTTATAATGGTCTCAATTATCCATGAATGAGTGA